GGGGGGGGGTGCATGGATGGCATGCCAGGGCTTCTCCGGGCCTATGGTGTGGGGCTTTAGGGATGCATTTGTGCGCTGGGCCGGCCTTCCTCAGCTGCTGCTCCCTGCTGCTCTGGCTCCAGATCTGGGGCCGGCTTGCGGTCACTGTTGGGCAGGTGGGGCGCATGGATGGCCTGACAGAAGCTCTGTCGGGCTGTCTCTGTGTGCCTGTTTGTCTCAGGTTTGGTTTTGGGTGGCCCTCCTCTTTTGGATCAGTTTTGGCCCCCCATTTGGTGGGTCGTGCTCCCCTCCGGTGGTGGGCCCCCCTGCCGCCGGTGCATTGGCGGCTCTCAGCAGCTAGGGCTGGGTGGTGGGGTGTGTGCGGGCCCGCCCTGGTGTCTGCCTGCGGGGGCCTGGGTGCCCTGGTTCTGTCGGGCCTCTGTTGGGGGGTGGTATGACCTTGGGACTCGGGGCTTGGTGTCCATGGCCGGATGAACTCTGGAGGGGCGGGTTGCTGGTGGGGCATGTTGACTCGTCGCTACGGCCTCCTGGGGGTTTCTGCATTGTGGTTGCTTGGGATCGCCCGGGGCTTCCCTTTGCTTCTCTCTCTGAGGGGTGCGGGTGTCCCTGTTGGGGGACTACCGGAGTTCCGGGCTTGGGGGCCACTGTGTGTCTGTGGTTCCGGTCTTCCCTGTGTTACCTTCGTGTCCTGTGGGGACGGGTTTATGGGTCCCCACATCCACTATTGAACATTTTTATGGAGAAACCATAAGTGATAGGCATGCTCACACAGGTGTTTAGATTCAGGTGTTAGATACACACTCGGGTTGTGGTGGCCATCAAATATATATTGTTTTGCCATGTACTGTATACAATACTTTCTAATGATGTTATAAGTATCATTATATAAGTTGTTTGTTGTTGTGGTTTCTCGGTTTTGTCGGGTGTTTTTTGTCCAGGGTGTTTGCAGGTCTAGAGGCAGACTTCAATGATGTTGATTTGTGTTCTCTTTATCCCTCTCTCTCTCCTCTATTCCTCTCTTTCTTTACAATTTAACTCTTCTCTCACTTTTCTGCTTTGTTATCTTCTTTGTTTTCCGTCCTCGTGTCCATTACATCTGGAACAAGCCCAAAGTATATTCTAATAAAATTTAATTTATATATCAAGTGGAATAATTTATATATCTGCTTGTGAAAGTAAATCATTTCGGCATCACTTTGACACTCAGACAATAATTCTAAGTGTCACAATGCCGGATAGGACAAGGGAAAAAAAAAAAAGTCTCACATTTGCTGCTCTGAGGGGGTCCTGGCAGACACTCCTCACATCTCCTGCTCTGAGGGGGTCCTGGCAGATGCGCCTCACATCTCCTGCACCAAGGGGGTCCTGGCGGATGCTCCTCACGTCTCCTGCTCCGAGGGGGTCCTAGAGGATGCTCCTCACGTCTCCTGCTCTGAGGGGGTCCTGGCAGACGCTCCTCACATCTCCTGCTCTGAGGGGATCCTGGCGGACGCTCCTTACATCTCCTGCTCCAAGGGGGTCCTGTCGGATGCCCCTCAAGTCTCCTGTCTCGAGGGGTCCTGGAGGACGCCCCTCACATCAACCATCTCGAGAGGGTCCTGGAGGATGCATCTCATGTCTCCTGCCATCTTCGGGTCGTCACATCTATACCTGGGACCTCTAGGTCACCGGCGGTCTCATTAGAAGCTGCAATTATCCTGGACTCATCAGCTTCTACAGCTCTTCTTGCCTCTGGGACAGCTGTGGGACCCACACCTGAACCTAACCAAACCTTCAGTCCTCTTTTCCCACACCAGGTGGTCATGGTCTTATAAAGTGTCCATCACCATCGGCAGTCCACTAAGTCTGGTTTCTTGTGCTGGACAACCTCCCGGCTACACATCTGAAATGTTCCAGGTTGTCAGACAGCCTCCCGACCACACTCCTGACCAGCTCCTGAGCTTTGGACGGCCTCCCGGCCACCTGCCGGACTTACTCTGGCCTGTCGGATAGCCTCCCAGCTGCCCGCCGGATTTTCCCCAGCGTTTTAGACGGTCTGCTGGCCGCCCACCTGAACTGTAACCAGCATAGAGATGGTCTCCTGACTGTCCATGCATTCTTTGTGTTTCCTGGTTTTGTTTTAGTCTAGATCCCAGGCTCTTGTCCTGCCGTTTTTTTTGTTTTGCCCTCGTGTGTTCCTTGTGCCTCCCATTCTTGCGGTACCTCCCTCCTCCCGCCCAAGTCTTTTTGGGGTGGGCCCTTTTTGGGAGGGTATTGTAAGGATGGTACTTCCATGTCTTGTCAGTTTACCTGTATCTGTACTCCTAGAAATTACCCTGATCAGTTCCACCCGCTTGTCCTCCATGTGTTTGCAACTTGTTTCGTCTAGTCTATGTGTATATAAGCCCTGGTCTGTGTCTTTGTCGGTGCATCGTCTGGCATCCTCCTGTGTCCCTTGCATTCTCATGACCAGTAAGTGTTTGCTGCCTCATCAGCTGTTTATTTGCTATTATTAAAGTGTTTTCTTATTTTGCATCCTGGCCTCTACGTCCTTTCTGCACATGGGTGCATTCCTGTTCAGTTCAGCCTGAAAATTCTGACAACTAACAACAAACAATAACCAAATGTTCCCAAAGCCAAATCTTGGTTTTGTGTATAATTACCCAAAGACTATTCTCTTTTCACAAATCAAAGAAGATTAACTTGAAGGAACTGTTCCTTGTTAAACTTCCTTCAGTGTTAACTTGTGGCAAGACAGCACAATAGAGACATTTTGTTTTGAATGAGTTTAAATGCATACTCTTGGTACACTTGATTGTATTGCATTCCTAAGCACATTTTATCCAAACATCCCACAAAATGAAATGTTATCTTATCTTAATTACTTTGTTATGCAAGATTCTTCCTTAGACTATCAAAACGCACTGCTTTTTACAATTTTTCAGTTTTCCTGGCAGATTCAGACACAGCCACCCTGCCTAATTTACACCTAAACTATTTATTGTTAATGGGACTTGTTACAGCTTTGAGTGAGCCAGAAAATGTATGTCTGCATGACAGATAACGTTAAATAGATTAGTTATATCAAACGGTGACCTTGTAGTTTCTTACATCAAAATGTCAAGACTCGTCATATTCCTTACTCTCTGCCAAATTAATGAAGCCCTAACCTCATTACAGCAGCACTTACCAATAAACCACCGAATTGATGGCATGGTGTCTTTTACCACTGAGTTTATTAAACACATGAAAAATGTGAATAACATCATACAATGTATACGGATACATACCTTTTCTTCTCTTCACCTTAGCTCTTCAGTAGTGTCATAGCTGGAGAAATGGGAACACAAGAGTTCAGAGTAAAAAAAAAAAGTAAAGTACTTTAAAAACTTTTAAATTGTCAGAGGGACATTATTGTAACTAAATTTCTATTGTCTGACAGAACAAAGTGTTACTGCAGGATTTCTAGTTCTTATTCGGTCTTCTTCTCCTTCAGCATCCCACCTTTTCCTTTGCCTCATCTCTGTGCACCAACCTTGCCATGGCTAACAGGAAACAGAGGGCACAGAGCTTTATTTAATTAGTCACAGCAGTTGAGTGCTCATGTGGAACCAAACAGGGGAGGTAGATTGGTGTAGTGAGATGGATAGGCACTCTCCCACCGGGCCTTGGCTGTGCTGTCAGAGGAGCATAGATTACATGACAGAAGGGGGATTGAGGGAGGGTTATGGCGATGGTAGTGGGTGTTGTATGGCAGGAAGATGTAAATGGAGCCTGTACAGGGGGATTCATCTCAGAAAATAGATTGTCTTTGGTTTAGAGGTATCCCTGTCTTCACTCAAAAAAACACTCCACACTGTTTGTCTAATATGCAAACAAGCAGGCAGAGGACTTGGCCTGTTGATGTGATGTACAACACTGAGTGCTTTGATCATTTTTATTAACTGTGACAACGCTCATTATTCCAAATGATTGAGTGGTGGTGATTTTTTTCCCCTCTTGAATCTCTTCTGACACTGATCTGTTGGCCGTTTCCTCGAGGTCGAGCAGATAAACTCCGCAGGGGAGCAGACATAGTTAGTGTGCTGCACATTCTTGATGAGTTTCTTGAACTCAAGGCAAGGAAACATCAAATGAGGAAAAGTTTCTCCAACAACTGACTTTCATTAAATTCACCAACACTTTGTCTTTCACAAAATGAACACAAACACGAGTGTAAAAACATTATATTTGTAGACAATCAGAATATTTTGCTGTGTTATACAGTATTAAGGGCACACACATTCACCAAGTTTAAATAAGTATTATTGTCTAGAGTCACTTTGTCGAAATAAAATAATCTCATGGTTCACTCAAGAACAAAACACCACAGAAAACATACATTTCTGCATGATGCTGAACCAACAACAATTGTGAATTATTAGTTCTATGTGCAGCTAAAGAGCTATGGTCTCCAGGGAACTCTTAATTAGCACTCTTGAAGTTATCCAGTGACCCACATCACATAATGAAAGCAACACAAATGTTCTATTTACATATCTTTACTTAGTAATGTGTGACCACTGGGACAACCCGTTGGTTAAATATGCAGTGTCAAAAAAAGAAAGAGAAGGGCAAGTTTAGCTGAGCTACATCGGTGTGCTGTCCAGGGATCTCTGAAACTGAATGTACTTAGGAATAATGTGCTTGTGACCTGCAAATCGGACTCACAAACGATTCACTAAGCATACAATCATTGACATACTTGTAGAGTCCAATTTCAAAAGACAATATTTGCTTAAGACCTAATAAAGTAAAGCACATATTTTCATAGTAAATTTTAAGGCAGTGCATTAAAATGGTTTACAGGAAATGATTATGTGAATTAAGCCAATAATACAACAATAAAATATAAATTTGTTACATTTACATTAATATCGCCAAAAAAAAGTGGTGGTGGTGGTGGGGGAGATTCTTGAAGGAAAGCTAGAGGTTTTCTTTTTTAACTTGAAGATGGAGCGTTTTACAAAATAGGTGTTACACTGAAAAAGGTCAGAACGCAGTTGTCACAATCACAATGCTAACAGTACCATGATGTTAGCAGTACCATGATGCTAACAGTACCATCATGTTAACAGTACTATGATACTAACAGTACCATGTTGTTAACAGTAACATGATGCTAACAGTATCATAATGTTAACGGGGCCATGTTGCTAACAGAACCACTCTGCTATAGGACCATGCTGCTGTAGATTTATTTATTTCACTTTTTCACTTTTGGCAACTTGTTTTTGTATTTTTGTTGCATGCTTTGGTATTTGTTGCTCTTTTTTTTTTTTTTTGGCGAGTTGAGACGGTTCTTCTCATCTTGAGCATTTCAATGCATTGTTGATCTAGTGTTGATCTGCATATGACAAATAAACCTAACCTAATAGTGACAGGGAACATTTCGCAGCGGAATATCTGCAGGTCTCTATAATTGTGAGGTATAAATCCAGTCATTCACTTTTATTTGTTCTTAGGGAATCATTTAAGCCTTTGAAGGTAAAAAATAAATAAATGTGAATTTAAAATCAATCTATTATCTAAAATCTGAAGAAAAACAAAAAAAAAAGGAAAAACAGAAGTAACTTTATGGCTTTTTTAATCCCCATTATTTGTAGTGTTTTGAAACAACTAGAGATGGTGGGAAAAGTTAAAATAAATAAATAAAATCTTGGTCTGGATAATAACAATGGAGAGGCTGCCAAGATTAAAGATAATGGGACAAAAAAGAGGAATTGAATAAAATGACTTTGGACCTATTATCACAGATTTTACAGACATCTTGGGTCATTCAGCATTTTATGTCAGAGACAAATTGTACATTTTGCAAGGTTCCTGGGATCTGCGGATTTTATTAGATCCCATTTAAAATTGGAACAATAGTCAGGCTGATGAACTAGAGGGCTAGAGGCTTTAGTGTGGTTTTAGCACTGTCATCTGCCTTGCAGTACTGGCCTTAGCATTAAGGAGTCAGAGGAGAGTGCAGGCTGGGGCTTCCTTAAGCTATCATCTGAATAAGGCTTGATATTCCCTAACCTTCCACCTTCACAGCACCTTGCCTCAGCTAAGACGGGTTAATAAAACTGTTTTTAACACCCTGCTCTCTTTTCAGAGGGTGTGTTAAATTGCTCTTTCACCAATGATTCGGTGTCTGTGAAAGAACTGGGTCACAAGCACTCTCTTCAAGGAGGTAGTGCACACAAACTGAATTCAGATTCTGATAGTGCCCTCACTTTCATGACTGCAGCCTACTCTAAAAGACATCATGCTCAGATTACTGAATGCATTTTTTAAGGATGAAAGGAACAAGAACTGCATACTACTAGTCTTTGCATGTGCATGGATGAACGTTAGTGGACAAGCTTCTTACTTACTGCCTGTATGTAATTTACTGTGAGACTGTTCGTAGGTGAAAGTGCTGTTATTACCTTTAGCAACTCCGAGTATCTCTGAATTTGAGCTGCACTGTTTTTTAAACCTTGTTTGCTTCAGCAGTAAATGCAACAAAGCAATCCCATCCCACTGCAAATGAATGAGCACAGGTCCCTAGTTATCACTGCTTATTGTTCCAATCAGGCTGGCTTTGAAAGGGAAGGCACGCTCTCCTTTGGACAGCTCATTAAGATAACACACAAACGTGGCTCCCCATCATTCTGGGTTTATTAAAGTGAGGCTCATTTTAGCTCTTTTGTCTCGCGAAGGAACCTCTGGCTTTGTCAGCGCAATTGAAGCCAGATGGCAAAACAAAGCTGCCTGTCTGAATTGCTTAGAGAGGGATCTCATAAGACAGAGCCATTAGCTTGACTTCACAAGCTCACCGCCCAGAATATCCACCTGGTTCCTCCAGGTGTGTCAACGATGACAAAAAAGGAGAGGGCAAGCGTGGCTGCATGTTTCTGTCTTGTCAATGAGGTGCAGACAGTTTATGGTTTCTCAGCTGCCTTCTCTGTTTCCCAGCCCCTTTAGCTAAAGCTGAACTATTAAGTCCTGCTAGTTGTGGGAAGGCTGACCCTGCTCCTGGCTGCACAGATTTCTCGCTAAAACATTCATGAGAAAGGGAATAGAGAATAAAAGCCATTGTCCCCCTTCACTCTGAGACTCTCCTTCACCTCTCAGCTTATTAAAATCACATGGTATTAACTTTGGCGTTCACTGAAAGGCTAAATAATTCAATCAGAATAAAAAGTAAGTTAAATTAATAACTCTAATGACGTTAATGCTTGAGGGAGAACTGCTAGGACTGCGAGGGGTAGTCACTGAAGCTAGTAATGCAGAAGAAGCTTGCCCTGAGTGCTAATGGAAAAATTAATTCTGAACTCATAAGGTCATATTTCTACTGAGCAAAATAACGCAATCTAATCTAATCACTCAAAAGAAGCACACAAAGCACTATTCTGTTTTGGTTCACCAGCACTCTTAAGAGGGAAAATATAAATACTCAGCAATTCTGGATTTTGAATAATCATTCTGTTTTCTTGCTGAGAGTTAGATTAGACATTGTACTTTCTTTCACTACTCTCTATGAAAAAAACATGTGTAAAGTAAATAAGGCGACAGGAAAATGGGGCTGAAATCTGGTGCTATGACCAAAACAGACCAAAAACTGCCAACCAGAATCTCTAAAAATGATTTTTTAGCACATTAATAAACTATATATTTTAATTATTTGTACAAACACAAATACATCTACATTAGGTAAAGTTTTACAGAGTTGTGTACATGCACTTGGTGATACGTGGTAATAGAAGTAGACAATTGTTAGAGGGGTCAACGTTGTTAAAAACTGAAAAAAATAAAAACAAAGCAGACATGGCATGGATCTTATCATATAGTAAGGATATGATTGAAAATTTAATTTAAGGTAATTAATTTTGTGGACATATCTATTCTTGTATAAATGCATAAACTGTATAATATGACATTTTAATGGCAGATTGCTTGATACAAATTATGAGATTGTCAAAAGTTATTTTAGATAATTTTATTGGATAGTCATTTATACAACCACAATCAAATGTGAACAATGATCAATAAAGTGTGTATGAACATGAAAATGTTACCAAAAAAAATAAAATAATAGAAGGTGAGTTTTTTTTGCCTGACAATAAAACCAGTGGATTTTTATGAAACTTTCAGGCAGAAATATTTGAATGTTAGGGTTGGCACACGAATGTGTTATACTGTTTGTTTTGTTGTATAAGTCTTAAAAATAAATAAAACAACTTACTTTATGTGAATAAAAAACATACTAAACACACATCAGCCAGAATTGCAATTAACATATTTTGCATAATGGATGTGAAAACATATTACTGGCATTTAAAGATGCTTGAAAATTGTCAAGATAAATGTTACCGCTACACCTGAAACATTTGGGGTTCATAATGTAAAACTGGTCATCACTTAACTAGGAAGCATTTACAAATCTTCACCAAATGGTATACTATGCAGTGTGCAGAATGCAGACAATAATATGAATAAATGGCTGGAGAAAATGGTAAAAGAATAAAGGCTGTACACATTTAGAAAAGTAAAATTTCTACTGAAAGTGTGAACTGACTACATGAAAGGTTAACACTTGACCAGGTGTGGATTCACTGACCTGTCTTTGATTCATCTTCTTCCAGCTCTTTGGCCTCCTCAGCTGTGGGGAGACAGAGGTGTTATTATCAAGAGGAGCCAGAATACAGAAGCAGATGCATAATGACAATGGCCTCACTTAACCAGAAGTCAATAGTTAGCTAATTCTTCACAGTTCAGAGGACAACCTGTGATGACAGCAACACTCAACAAAATGGTTCCACAATAACTCCATGCATGCATACAGTAATATCTATCCTTTAACCTTCTGTCCAGCACATCCACAAATACATTAATCACATTAGACTTTAGCTGTTGGACTTAAAAAAAAACACTGTTAACAGAGTTAACCCAAAGAAGACCCTCACATTCTCAAAAAAGGACATGCATGAGCATACAAGCACAAAAGTTTAAAAACAACCTGAATCAAAATCTCATTTAAAATAAATAAATAAATAAATCCTATATACTGTCTACACTTGAAAGTAAACAGAATTTTCATCAGAACATAATGACAAGACAACATAATTTATATGATGACGTATTTTCTTGACCGAATGAAAAGAGCATGTCACCTTACTACACTTTGCATACAATAGCTCATACCTCACAGTATCACTGTTGATAACAATGATATAGGCAAAGACAATCACTGGTACAATTGTGGAGTGGTTAGTCCCTTTGTAAAACCTAAAAGTAACAAGCAGTACACCTTATAAAAACTAGAAAGCATAATTTCCTCAAAAGACGGGTGGTTGGTTTATATACGGTATATATATACAGGTTCTTCTCAAAAAATTAGCATATTGTGATAAAGGTCATTATTTTCCATAATGTAATGATAAAAATGAAACTTTCATATATTTCAGATTCATTGCACACCAACTGAAATATTTCAGGTCTTTAATTGTTGTAATACTGATGATTATGGCATACAGCTCATGAAAATCCAAAATGCCTTTCCCAAAAAATTAGCATATCATGAAAAGGTTCTCTAAACAAGCTATTAACCTAACCATCTGAATCAATGACGTAACTCTAAACACCTGCAAAAGATTCCTGAGGCTTTTAAAAACTCCCAGCCTTGTTCATTACTCAAAACCGCAATCATGGGTAAGACTGCCGACCTGACTGCTGTCCAGAAGGCCATCATTGACACCCTCAAGCAAGAGGGTAAGACACAGAAAGAAATTGCTGAACGAATAGGCTGTTCCCAGAGTGCTGTATCAAGGCACCTCAGTTGGAAGTCTGTGGGAAGGGAAAAGTGTGGCAGAAAATGCTGTACAACGAGAAGAGGTGACCGGACCTTGAGGAGGATTTTGGAAAAGGGCCGATTCCAGACCTTGGGGGACCTGCGGAAGCAGTGGACTGAGTCTGGAGTAGAAACATCCAGAGCCACAGTGCACAGGCGTGTGCAGAAAATGGGCTACAGGTGCCGCATTCCCCAGGTCAAGCCACTTTTGAACCAGAAACAGCGGCAGAAGCGCCTGACCTGGGCTACAGAGAAGCAGCACTGGACTGTTGCTCAGTGGTCCAAAGTACTTTTTTCGGATGAAAGCAAATTTTGCATGTCGTTTGGAAATCAAGGTGCCACAGTCTGGAGGAAGACTGGGGAGAAGGAAATGCCAAAATGCCAGAAGTCAAGTGTGAAGCACCCACAGTCAGTGATGGTCTGGGGTGCCATGTCAACTGCTGGTGTTGGTCCACTGTGTTTTATCAAGGGCCGGTTCAATGCAGCTAGCTATCAGGAGATTTTGGAGCACTTCATGCTTCCATCTGCTGAAAAGCTTTATGGAGATGAAGATTTCATTTTTCAGCACGACCTGGCACCTGCTCACAGTGCCATAACCACTGGTAAATGGTTTACTGACCATGGTATTACTGTGCTCAATTGGCCTGCCAACTCTCTTGACCTGAACCCCATAGAGAACCTGTGGGATATTGTGAAGAGAAAGTTGAGAGACGCAAGACCCAACACTCTGGATGAGCTTAAGGCCGCTATCGAAGCATCCTGGGCCTCCATAAAACCTCAGCAGTGCCAAAGGCTGATTGCCTCCATGCCACGCCACACTGAAGCAGTCATTCATGCAAAAGGATTCCCGACCAAGTATTGAGTGCATACCTGAACATGAATATTGGAAGGTTGGCGTTTTTTGTATTAAAAACACTTGTCTTTCATTGGTGGGATGAAATATGCTAGTTATTTGGGACAGGCATTTTGGGGTTTCATGAGCTGTATGCCATAATCATCAATATTAAAACATTAAATACCTGAAATGTTTCAGTTGGTGTGCAATGAATCTGAAATATATGAAAGTTTCATTTTTATCATTACATTATGGAAGATAATGACCTTTATCACAATATGCTAATTTTTTGAGAAGGACCTATATATATATATATATATATATATATATGTGTGTTGTGAGCTTGGTTTCCATTTCGGTGTGTGGCTGTATCTAGGTGTAAGAAAATTTTCATTCAAAAACTAAGTTGCCCTGTCAAAATTCAAGATAGCTGCCGCCATAATTGTCCGTTTATGTTGTGAGCATCATTACTTGAAAAATAAGTGAGGTACCAACTTCCATTTTGGTGTGTGGCTGCATCTAGGC